TATACATTTATATATATTTATATATATTTATATATATTTATATATATTTATATATATATTTATATATATTTATATATATTTATATATTTATATATTTATATATTTATATATTTATATATATTTATATATTTATATATTTATATATTTATATATTTATATATTTATATATTTATATATTTATATATTTATATATTTATATATTTATATATTTATATATTTATATATTTATATATTTATATATTTATATATTTATATTTTTATATATTTATATATTTATATTTTTATATATTTATATATTTTTACATATTTATATATTTATATATTTACATATTTATATATTTACATGTTTATATATTTATATATTTATATATTTATATATTTATATATTTATATATTTATATATTTACATATTTACATATTTATATATTTTTATATTTTTATATTTTTATATTTTTATATTTTTATATATTTATATATTTATATATTTATATATATTTATATATATATAATTAAATATTTATTTTTTAAAATTATTTAATTTAATAAATTATTATAAATTAAACTAATTATGATTAAATTAAATTATTAAATAAAAATATTTTATTTTTTAATTAGGTGAATAATTAAATTATATTATATAATTTTACCGACGGATTTATCCAGTCGGTAAATAATTGTTAATTTACATATGAATTTACAGACGGATTCTACGAATCGATATATCTATCGGTAAATTCATCTATAAATTACAGACGGATTTATCGACGGATATATCCGTCGGTAACTAATTATTATTTTACCGACGGATAACATCAAATTCCACAAATATTTTATATCCGTCGGTAATTTTCAGTCGGTAATGATTATTTTTCGACGACTACAAATCCGATCGGTAATACTGCGATTTTCTTGTAGTGTCTTGGGTTATCATTTAACTTTTCAATAAATTATTTATTTTATATATACTTTTCATTATATATCTTCCAGCGAGTTTGTATTCTTTTTGTATATACTTCGAGTGTGTTTTGTCCTCACTCACAAAATTTTTTAGAACTTCCATCCCACAATTTTTTCAAGTCAACCATGCTTAACTATGAGGTTCTTATGTGATAAGCCACCGAAAAGTAAATGCATTTTGTTAGTATAGGTAATTAATTCTCTTAAGTTATCCTTCAACTGTACAGTCTCATACCTATACAGTCTCTGGATCTCTCGTTTCGGGTGTGTTTCGGTTTATTCATATGACTCGGAAGCCTACAAGGAGTCGCTCCTTGTGCGCGTCTCGCTGCACCGGCGATCACTTTCCTGCCCTCGTCGGCGTTCGGGATGTCACATTTTCAATCATATATTTTTAATTTTTTTTCTTTAATATAAATAAAATTAATTACATTTTTTCTCTTTAATTAACTCATTCAATTATACATTTTTATTTTATTTTTCAAATATAAATTAATAAATAAAAAAAGATATTTTTTCTTCTTTTTTTCAATTCTATTAATTTTTTCTCTTCCAAATTAAACTTTTTTTCTATGTCTCCAATACATAATGTTAAAAATAAATATATTGACATTTAAAGTTAATATATACATCAAAATTTCAATTCATTTAAAAAAAAACAGAATAAAAAAATACGAATATACAATACAAACACATGTATCTGTATTTTTTTCTTGTTAAAAAAATAACAAAAGTAAATATTAATTTTGTTATGTATCACATTTTTGTTACATATAAAAAAAATAAAAACTGAAACATATAGAATGAAGTAGTATTTTATGAAATTACTTCTCTCATTTTTTCTTTAAAATAAATATATACATAAATTTATAATTATAAATTATTTAATATGCATTTGTTTATTATTTTTAAATAGTAACATTTTTTAATTTAAATCACTTTCTAGTTTATTGTATTTGTTTTTTTCTCTCACTTTCTAAGAAGTAGTTTTTAATTTTAATTTGAGACTTTATTATATTAAAAGCAAGTGAAGAGTTAAATGGGTGGACAGAGTCGGTTGCCGCCACAGAAATAAAAAAAGTGGAAATATTTATGCAACTTGGAATAAAAATGTGGAAAGAAACGAAGATTATACAAGTTAGTCAACCAAATTGAAACAAAATTAATCAAGAAAAATGTAAATTTGGTGCAAGTGAGTAATAATAATTACCGACATTTTGTGTCTCATACAATAATTCCTAATCATGAGGTGATAAAAGTGGGGTTCATATTTCATAAAGTTGTGGTCACAAGAACACCAATATTAATTTACCAATTTTTAAGAGTCACCACCAAAGCTTAATTTGCCAACTTCTATATGTCTTCTTACTCAGCCTCCACAGTCCAATAGGAATGCCACACTGTATTATTATTTTTATTTAATTAAATGATTATATGAATATTTAATTATAAAGAAAAATGATAAAGATTTATACGAGACATAAATTTGTTATGTTAATGATAGAATCCACTTTTTTTCAAAATACATTATCTTCAATCTTTCTTCGTACTTATCTAATTTCATTTTCTTCCTCGCTGATCATTTCAACAAATTTATCTAAAATATAATAATAGCTACGGCAAAGACAACCTAGTATATCATTCACGTAAGAAAGAGCATTGAAAAGACAGAAAAGAAGAATAACAATTATGTACACACGTTACATATACTTTAATTTAATTTTATAAGTTGATTTATTTTTTAATATTTTGTAAAAATAATTGAAATTAATATAAGAGAGTGTAGGCCATGAACAAGAGACATAGCGGGTAAAAGGGACACCAATTCACCAACTGTCTTTGAAATTTAGGACAGGTAGACCATCAATTACAGCTAATTGGATGTACCATTCCAATTTAGATTTTTTTTAAAATAAATATACAGATAATTTATAATAAAACAATTACGTATTTTTAATTATTTATTATTTTTGAAAACAATATTTTTCTTTCTTTATTTCACAACCTTCTATTCAAATTTTATTAATTTCATATATTTTTCATTCTTTCTTTTATATTTTGGTTTTTTAACATAGGATTAGAGTAATATAATACTTTCAACTTTGCATAATAATCATCCTTTCTATAGTATTTACAAGAATAGGCTAAATAATATTGTTTTCTTCTCTCTCTATCTTTTATTTATTTTATAATTTTCTCTATCACTTATTAGTTATTTCATAAAATTTGTTTGAATTTTATTATAATCATTTATTTATTACTAAATTCAATATCTAACTATACTTATTATTATATTAAAAATTTTAAATGGTATAATAAATAATATAAATTAGTTATAGAGAAATTTTAATAAATAATATAAAAACTCGTAAATAAAATAATTAATGAGTTATATAACTTACACAGTTGTTTTATAATATCATATTTTCTCTTTTATTTCTCTTCATTATTTAATATTTCTGTCCACCCTCTTTCTCTTTCTTTATATTAATTTTTTTTTATCAAAGGTATTATTTTCAGAAAGAAAATTCAAAACTTGGTTTACGATATTGGGCGTCTAATCCCTTCCATTATAAGTTTCCGTGTCTCTCTTTGTTGTATTAAATTTTGTAGCAAAATATTGTTCAAAGACAATGTCTTTCCTTGAATAAAGAAAACCTAATTATGTAGCCATTGAATTTATCAATGGACTAATAAATTATTCGAAGCTTACATTATGAATTGTTATATGACTAATCGATACTAACTAATCATTACATCTAATACTGACAATCATATGAAATAATAAATGGAAACAAAATATTTGTACTTATTAAACGCTTCAATTTAATAATAAGTTGATTTGCTCATATTTAAAAAAAATAGCTATTGTATGTAGGCTGAACCATAATTGTTATTTTTGATCAATTGACCTAACTTATGCTCTGAATTGTCATTAAATAAGTAATTTTGAAAAATGAACTCGTTCAATTTTAAGAATTTTAGAACTATATAGTCTTCTATTTCCTGAACACAGTTCATCTCTTCTTCTTGCATTCTCCGGCAACCACACTGTTTCATCACTGCTTATAATTCTCTGGTAAACTCCTCTCATGCTTCCTCCTCCTTGTGTTAAATGGATGTCAACTTCATGTTCACTAATGTCGTATCTCACTTGTTACCTTTGTTATCTTCACTTTCCAATCTCTTCACTTGCGTGTGGATTATATTGGTCGTTCTTTCTGTATTCAAAGCCATGGAACCTATCTTTATAATCCTATAAAATCTAAACACTGGAATTCCCAGTAAATTATTTCGCCATGTAATGATGTAAGGAACAAGGAGCTTCATTTGTTAAATATTTCGTTGTTATTAGTCTTCTCTTGTTCTTTTACTCTCCCCAAATACCTACTCTGTCTTGTAGATTGCTTCACTTACTTTCTTTGATAAATGCTCTCATAATGACCAGAAGTATTGATACCTTATTTCATTTAATTCTTGTCCTTCTATAATTTTTTTATGATATTATTGTTTAATTGTTTCCTGTTTTCCATTTTAATATTATGATCATACGTTGTTGTCTCTCTTTTTTTTGGTAATTTGTGGTCTGAAAAATTCAATGAAGAACATAGTGTGTTGATTCATAGCGCTCGAGAATTAAACTTGTTTCTACTCTAATATGATTTTGATTCTTGAATTCTCGTCCATCTTTGGTTTTTCTCCTTTCCTTATAATAAATAGCTAGAATATAACATACGTATTTTTAAATTGTTTGAAACTGCAGGTATCCTTCATGGAAGACACGTATACCAGAGCCGCATGAAACAACTTAAGGCGATACATTTGCATACCAAGAGTTCTAATATGAAACCACTGGTTAAGCTGTATAACAATCCTTTCCGTTGATCCACACATTGAATATAATTATATATTCTATTCCAGGACAAAGAGTTTCAAGGGTGAATCTCTGGGTAAGAATTCCTACATGCAAACCTTGTCTTTTAGCTGTTAAGAATTCGGGTACTTGAAACTCTACAAGGCATTCTTTCTTCTGGTAATTATGAATGTCTGGCCCCGTGGCCATAGCTGATTATTCAAATGGAGGAGAACTTTCTTGTGCAGAGAGAACAAAATCTCGTGACGTGCTTCCTGAATTAGACCAACTTTCTATATTGACAGACGGTGAAAGTGAAGGCTTTAGTGTTGGACAACTCTTACTTTCTAATGGAGACTCATATTCTGGGTTCCTATATGGCAATGTTTCTGAGGGCCACGGGACGTACGTTTGGTGTGATGGCTGTGTATATGAGGGTGAATGGAGGCGAGGGATGAACAATGGATACGGAAAGATAAAATGGCCTTCTGGAGCAGTGTATGAAGGTGATTTCTCTGGTGGATATATCCATGGTACGGGCAGATATATTCGTTCCGACAAATTGACCTATAAAGGTAGATGGCGGTTGAATCTTAAACATGGTTTGGGGTATCAAGTTTATCCTAATGGAGATACCTTTGAAGGGTCTTGGATGCAAGGAACACCAGAGGGGCCTGGCAAGTATACCTGGACCAACGGAAATGTTTATGTGGGGAATATGAAAGGTGGAATAATGTCAGGAATAGGAACTCTTACCTGCATAAATGGGGACTCATATGAAGGAAACTGGCTAAATGGCATGATGCATGGCTTTGGAGTGTATACTTGGAGTGATGGAGGATGTTACGTTGGAACTTGGACATTTGGTCTAAAAGATGGCAAAGGAACCTTTTATCCAAGAGGTAGTAGCCGGCTTCCATCAGTGCAAGAAATTTATCTCAGTGCCTTGAGAAAAAGAGGGCTATTGCCAGATTTGAGAAAACAGAAGCAAGTCAGAGATGTCAAGGTACCAGACAACCAGCTGTCAAGTATTGTTTCATCTGACAAGGTTGCAAAAGGAAACCTGTTAAATCTGGAACAGTCTAATAGAAGAAATGTGTCTCTTGAAAGGCGTTGGAGTCTTGAGGTTTCGATTGAGAAAGTGATTGGATATGATTCAGCATTAGGATTAGCAGATTCTATGCCAGAAAGTAAAGACAAAGAGGTTGATACAACGATCCCAATATTGGAACGAGAGTACATGCAAGGTGTATTGATAAGTGAAGTTGTGTTAAATAATATGTTTTCATCAATGTCTAGAAGGGCAAGGCGACTTCAAAAAAAGCTTGCCAAAGAGATTAAAAAACCTGGTGAAGCAATCATTAAAGGTCACAGGAGTTATGATCTAATGCTCTGTTTGCAGCTTGGAATAAGGTAAAGGCACTATGTTGACCTGTAGCACACTCAAGCTGCTTCAGGTGTTATCATTTACAATACAGTCTAATTTTTCTCTCCATATTCTACATGCTTTTATATTCATTCTATTGCACATGGCATATGCTAACATTTGAAGATGAATCCAAAGTTGGAAGACAATAATCAAGTTATAAAACCATAATTATAATATAGGTATGATTGATGATTCTATTCGTTAAGCATATTAAAGGTCACATACATCTTCCCTTACTGGAAACTTCTTTTGTTCTTCCTATGCACTAACAGTTGAGTTGAGAATAGAGATCTGAGGTGTGCAGCTCCAATAGACATACGAGAACGCATGACAACTATAAGCTGTTTTCATTAAACAAAGTCTTTCACTTGTATTGATTAATTTCTACAGTCGAACATAGATAGCTCATCTTGTTTTCTCACTCCAATTTTGAGATTTGAATGCCGAACTATTAACTGAAGGCACAAAAGCCACCTAAGTTGAAGTTATAAGGATATCCTGAACTATCTTCATTTTCCTCTGCATGTATTTTCCTAATAATGTAAAGTTCTTTGTTAAACTCAAGAGAACTCCACACAAACCAAGTAGTTTTATTTATATATTTTCTGGATTAAAACGGAAAAGAAGTTACAACTGACGCCAGACAGCAAAAGAAAAATACAGGACAAAGTCCCTCATTAAGAGTAACCTCTCTTAAAACACAAACGATAAATTGACAGGCCTAAGCACTAACAGAGAGTCTTCCTCTCTCAATGGCACTCAATACAATCTACTCTCTGAGTGCAGGCATTGACATGTGATACTCACAAGACACACATAATTGGATAATGGTTACAAAACACAGAACGGCCGAATAATAACTAAATGCATAGACAACTGCCCTTCTGTTCTCATAACTATTCTTCATTATCGTTGCTTTAGCATGGATTTCCTCGTTGTAAATGTTCTTCAATTGGTTAGGTATACCGTGGGCAAGATAACACCTATACCTACGCGAGAAGTTAGATTATCAGATTTTGGTACCAAAGCAAGCTTTTGGATGAATTTTCCTAAAGAAGGTTCTCAATTAACACCTACCCATCCATCAGAAGATTTTAAATGGAAAGATTATTGCCCCATGGTGTTCAGGTCAGTAGATACAACTCATTTTTTGATGATCTGCTTCTTTCATGTGACCCTGGTATCATTCTTATACTGACTAGACGTGCATGTAAATCTGTCTCTTTAAGCAAGATTTTAATACCCTAAGCTAGCCTTCTTAGCTCCCATCATATTGTGGATGTTTCTAACTTGAATTGAATTGTCTCCTTTGGAAGATACTTGTGCTTCTATTATTCCTTTTATTATCCTTTGTTTCGTGCGTTATATTCAGAAGAACAAATGTGCCTCAAATCTTAGATAATTCGAAACTTAAGAATGTAAGATCATAATGTGGAACTTGAGTGTTTGACCGATCATATAATATGCATTCTTATTCTTCATTAATTTGAAAAAATACAATAGGTTACGTATATATTCATGGACAACTGTTGCAGATCATCTTTCTCTTCTCTTTCTTCCTTTCACTTTCCATGAGCTTTTTGATATAACCTGTTGCAGAAATTTGAGAGAGTTGTTCAAGATTGACGCTGCCGACTACATGATGTCCATCTGTGGGAACGATACTCTGAGGGAACTATCTTCTCCAGGGAAAAGTGGTAGCGTCTTCTTCCTGTCTCAGGATGATCGTTTCATGATCAAGACACTGCGCCTGTCTGAAGTCAAGGTGCGTTCATATAAATGTTTCAGATAGAACCAATAAAAGGTCGAAGGTTGCATTTTTGTATTTTAATAACGTTAACAAATGTTTCAGGTCAATCTTTCTTCTATTCCATGTGGACTCTATTGTGTACATGCAGTGTATACTCATTACAAATTGAAGCTAACAAATTATTTAGAAATTTAGTATGGGATTTCACAGCAACAAAGGAAAGAGAGAATGCTTAATTTTATTGAAGTTCTATTGGTCTAAGGATTTCCACAGAAACGACGAGTCCTGATAGGAAGCAAATAAATTTTCTTCCTATCAAGTCCGTAATAATTTTGTGGCAGAGTTTGGTTTTTGCAGTAGAGCTTTTGTTGTAGTTGTAGAATAATGCTAACATTATTCAGACGCAACCGTAAAAGAAGAAGCTTCTAGCTAATACATACTGAAGCAATTAACAATTGTTTAATAATGATACCTCAGTATTCACCTGTTATTTTCTACTTGCATTTTATATAATGCGAACTCCTTTGTTCAAAATATGACATGCAGGTTCTTCTAAGAATGCTTCCAGACTATCATCATCATGTGAAGTCATATGAAAATACACTTATCACAAAATTTTTTGGCCTCCACAGGATTAAGCCTTCAAGTGGTCAAAAGGTAATCTGAATATTCCTTCGCAGCATTTTTCAGCTCCAGGGTCATTTTTTGTATTGATAAGGATGTAATGACACGCTTCTTATTACTTGCAATCTGAAATATAAAGTATGAAAATTATCATAAAGTAAATTTACAATATCAAATATTTGAGCCTAATCATATCACAACTTATTACACGCTTCTTATTTTATTTTTGTTTTATAAGCATTTCCTCAACTAGGAGTCTAATATTTGGATATAATTTTCCCTTTCGCAGTTTCGCTTTGTTGTAATGGGAAATATGTTCTGCACGGAACTACGGATCCATCGGAGATTTGATTTAAAAGGTTCATCCTTTGGACGATCATCAGACAAGATAGAAATTGACGAAAATACAACACTGAAAGATTTGGATCTGAACTACTGCTTCTACTTGGAACCATCTTGGCGGGAGTCTTTATTAAAGTAAGCTGTAGTTACAACGGATTTGTTTTGCATTTGGGTTTCTTATACACGGTAAACAAAAACATTTATTGAAAAAGTTCAATTTTCAGTATCGCAATAACAGAAGATACTCAAATATAAAAATATTACGGTAAAATAGGAAACTTTATTCTAAGGTATATATAAGAAAAGGAAGATAACATATTCTTCGTAGACAAGGTAACAACAGAAAACGTGTACATCTTTTGTTTAGTACATTATTGGTTTCTGAAGTATGATCATGTTTTGGTACTGTGAGTTATGAATATGTAAATACATACCTGTATAAATTCCAGCATGCTGTTATTGAAATAGTAACTCTTCGTGTCGAAATTTTATTTGATCTTTGCAGTTCAAATTTGTATGAATCATATAGTCATCATGCATAAAAGTATTTTTTTTAATTGGCATAATACATCTTACCATGCAGCCTTATATAAATGGAAGACATTTTTATAATGCACTGCAAAAACTGAATATTTCCTCCTACTCATACTTTTATGCAGGCAGATTGAAATAGACAGCAAATTTTTGGAAGCACAGCACATTATGGATTACAGCCTTCTTCTAGGTGTTCATTATCGAGCTCCGCAGCATCTGCGACCTCTCATGTCGTACAACCAAAGTAGAAGTGTGGATGGATTAGCAATGCTTGCAGAGGAAGGTGAATCATTTGTCTCGTTTATAGACTTATATTCTTGCTTTCTCTAGTACAATAAGATAGCATGATGAACTGATCAACTTGAAAACTTTGATATGCTAACGATGATTCGATAGACCCTCTGGAGGATGAAGCATCCTATCCAGAAGGCCTTGTTCTAGTTCCTAGAGGAGCAGACGATAACAGCGTTGTTGTGGGCTCACATATGAGGGGTAGTCGGTTGCGGGCTTCATCTGCTGGTGATGAGGAGGTGGATCTACTTCTACCTGGTACAGCAAGGTATGGTTTCTTGAGTATTTTGGGTCGGTCCTTTAATCTTCAGGTTAAATAACTCAGGTTAGCTAGACTGTTTAAGAGTCCTGTTGTTCACAGCATATGCAGGTTAAATCAAAAGACAAATCTTATACACAATTCTCTTGGTGTTTGTATTATTTTTCAATCAGAATTCATGTTTCAACCTAGTTACATATGTAATAAAATGTTGTATTGAATGATTCTGTAGATTATCAAAGTGAAAGTTTAATTCTAATAGGAGAACAGGGTAAATAACACTTTGAGACTATCTAATTTTGGACACATCAAATGGAATGTGATTAAACGGTTGAGTATAAAAGTGAGATAACAAATTGGCTTTTATTTTCTTCACATTGTCACATGTGTTACTTAATGCTTTAATATGGACTACGGGAGTTTATTCATATGAAGACCATATATTCTAATAATCTAGGCACTTCATTTGAGACCATACCTAATACCTTAATGATTGTAATCATCCCTTTACACCATAATTGTATCATTGCCACAATATTGACTGATATGCATATTTTCTCTTTTTGTTTCCAATTTGTTGAGTAGACTCCAAATCCAGCTTGGTGTGAACATGCCTTCAAGGGCAGAGCAGATTTCCGGAAAACAAGAAAAGCAAAAGTTCCGCGAGGTGTACGATGTGGTGCTGTACTTGGGTATCATTGATATATTGCAGGACTACAACATGACTAAGAAGATTGAAAATGCTTATAAATCTCTTCAGTTTGATTCATTGTCTATCTCAGCTGTGGACCCTACGTTCTACTCTCGTCGTTTCCTGGAGTTTATTCAGAAAGTGTTTCCACCAAATGCAATGGCAGGTTAATAATTGAGATTTTGTGGTTATATTTAACCACTAATTTCGTTGAGAGAGTGTGAATGTTGCACTTTTATGCTTGCTCCAAAATTCCTAGTAGGTGGCTACGTGGGGCATCTTGGTGATGATGGTAATAGGAATCAAGTGAATAATGAGGTAAATAGATTTATCTCACAGTCAGTCAACATGTATAAAAAATTGTTCCAGTTAAAGTATTAATATTTTTAACCAATTCTTAAACAACGGTCAATATAATCTTAATTTTCTATTTTGTTTACTTTAAAGAAGATGAATCTAAAATAAATTATCTAAAATATACTTTATGTTAAGAATATCAATATTCTAAACGTGTATCAAATGATAATTTTATTTTTTTTACGAGTATATATATATGCTAATATGAGAATATATCATAGATAATAATAGAATCAAGAATTTTCTTTTATCAAATTCTTTCTCTCAATTACATATGTTATATGTGAATAGACTAAAAGAAATTTTAATAAATATTTTTAGCATAGGAGAAAAAGTGAAAAAAAACGTGAGGATATCCATAGAAAAATGAGTCTTTAATTATGATTTTATATATCTAAATAAATTTTAATTAGCAGCAAAAAATTGTTGGATGAAATATGATATTAAAATTTTTCTTAGATATAATTGATTGTTTATTTTGCATCACAACAAAACTTTTGTGTAGTTTATTCAATTACTGTTGCATCACTATATTGATCAATTGAGTCAATTTACTAGGTATAAAGTACTGATGAATCATATTCATAAAAAAAATGTAAAAATAAATATTAAAAAAAAAGTACCAAAGAGTGTCATTTTACTCTCTGTTTGCCAAATTAGTGTGGGGGAGGGAGCCAAATAATTCTCCGATTAATTGTTTAAAGTGAAGCTAAAACTTGCATTAATATCTGCCAACATGATTGCACATGAAATAAGGATCTTTGGCCATATCAATGGTCTCAACTCTATAAACCACATGATTTCATCTTCATCAATCTCTAACAAAAATGAGCTAATTTTTATTTTATTAAAAAAACTCTTGTCTATATATGCAAGAACTAGAGAGGAGGTTGAGCAACACATACAGCTATGCCAATGAATGTGAAATTAACTCAACCACCGAAACATACGGCATCACTTTTTAAATAATTAATTGAATTTTCTAGTTGAAGCAAGCAATGGATCATCATTACCACCTTTCATAATCAACGTCTTTTCTTGAAAACAAAAATAAATACATACTACGATGGAAGGAAAATTATACTAATACCTATCAAAAATACAATTTACATAGATATATAAGCAAGTAACATTATTTATTAATACATAAATAATCATTAGTTAATCAATGATAGATTACTATAATCTATCACTATCATTTTTTATTGGTCACAAATCAATGATACATCTTCATCGAAAAATAAAATGTGAGTCATAAATACTTATCCCAAAAATAGGTGTGAGGATAGAAAGTGTCTTTGGAAGGAAACATTTTGGGTTTAAAAAATGTAATGAAGGAGGGGAATAGACCTCTTACCCAATCCCAACAAGACATGATATGGCCCATTGCCATTTGGTGCCACCCCTTTTGATAGTCACACCCCACCTCATGTCATGTCATGCCTTTCTTTCTTTCTTTCACCTGAACACCCAAATCCATACCCTTTTCTCTCTCAAGAAAGAAAGCAATACCACCTCATCTCAATTCAAATATGATTACCAAACAAAATACATGTCATTTATAAAAAAGTTATTTCTTCAAACATTCTTATATGTAAAAATAGTTATTTCAGCATTAATGTTTCAATAGACCTCCAAACCAATAAACTTTTCAATGTCACATTAATGACCTTGATTAGCTTTTATTTAGTTTAGTTTTAAAAAAAAATCTTCAAAGCATGTGCTAGTCTATATAATAATAAGCATAGTAATATAAAAAACAATTAAAAGAAAAATTTACTGGTGCATCACTACAAGTATATTTAGTCAACACGCTTAAATGCATGCTATACCTTCCAAATTTAGTAATTTAGATTAAAATAAGTTTCTAAATGTTTTTTTTTAAATAGTATAACAACTAAATGGAAAACAGTTGAATAGTGCATTTCATATATATAAGTCAACTTAAACGGTGAGCTTCAAAAGTTACTCTCAATGCATGCTACTCTTCTGTCGAAGTTTAGATTGATATTGAATTAAAGACATCAAAACATTTCAAAATAATAAAAAAATACATTTTTAAACATTTTGAAAAATAAAACAGCATAATGAAGAATGATTGAATTATAAATGTGAGTAATGCAATGCATGTATATTTACAAGAAACTTAAAAATGAAATTTAAAAGATATCTTCAATGCATGTATATGATTGTTGCCTACTCACATGATATAACATGCTTGTGATCACGTTTAATTTTGTCTGTACGAATTCTAAAGTCACATACATTACATAAAAAAACAACAATTTATTAGTTGGTCTAAAATCACATACACTGTTACACCTATACAAGTAGATATGAATCTAAATTATAAAATGCAGAGTTTGCAGATTTGACAGATGGGACGAGCACGCCTGTTATATTAAAAAGAGAAAGAAGCAAGATAATGGTAGATTGTGGAATGTGTGGGGAAATCTACACCCAAATTACTTCAGAATAAGACATCAATTATGATACATAGTGATTTATGTACAAGTTCTACAGTGCAGTAAAAATTTGATTTTTCAATAAGAGGAGAATGAAAGGCATCAATAATCAATGATGATGTTTTAAGAGAAACAACTTATTAGTTCTACTAGTTGGTATCATTCTTTATTTTGAGAAATATTTTATTAGTACAACAAAATTATATAAGATTTAAATGCATTATAGCAAATAAAAGAAAAGTAAGAAATGAATAACAGAGTGAAATACAGATTATTATGTAAAGTTCATCATCGTTAAAACTGATATACTATAAACTACAAATAATAGTTTTATTTAGATTAATCTATCTCATCTTCACAATATAATGTGTCCTTTATACCACAACACAACTTCTCTTTCTCTCCTCAACAATTCTTGTTATCTATCACTGTTTTGTATAGTTGAAAACCGTTTTTGACAATAATAATCCTTCTGCATTGTAGCATAATTTTCTTTTCCTCTCCTAAATTAGTAACCCCTCATTATTGACCATCATTCGGTGTTGTAGAAAGTGATTTTCAGCAACTCACGTAGAACTTTTTTCTTGTCCTTCTTTCATAAAAAAATTGGCATTGATTCCATAACTTTTGACAAAAACTGCGCATGTAGACATGCAAAAATGGAAGACCATGGCAAAACGACCGTGGCATTGTTGGTTTTGAGATGAAAGGAGGATAGAGAAAAAAAATGTAAAACCGAAATGCCACGGTTGAAAATTGCTTCAAAGTTACAGTGAAGGTATGGTTGGTGACAAGAGTTATTACGGAGAGGAAAAAGATGGCATTATGATGTGGAGGTTGGACAATAATAATGTGAACATAAATTTTGCGGTGTATAATAGATGGTTTATGGTGGTGATACAATATAAATTTTGTCAAAACTAAAAAGGAGAAAGAAATAATATTTCAATTATTGCATAAGTTTATTATGTAAATAAGATTTATGTTGCTCTATCACCTCAATTATTGTTTATAGATTGACTTACATCAAGCTGTTCTAATTGTGTTAATATTTACTCACCGAATATTCAAGAAGAGTGTTACTACCACTCGTAATAATTTCATTCAAATTCCTATAAACTTGTGATATGTAAAAGATAGACGTGATTGTTATCTACATTGAAGGTTTAAAAAGTGAGGTAGAAGAAGAAAAAGCTGAGAGAAAAAGCATGTCTTTTGGAGGTTTAATCGGGAACCCAGTGTTTGAATAGCAGCATTGCTTTGAGAGTAAACCTCACCAATCACCACCTTGCACGTGGGGTATGCAGTTGGGACAACAAGTCCACCGCATGAAGTCGGGAACTCAAAGTATTGTATCATACACTTCTACGGACACACACACACATGTATCACAAAACAGAAAAGAAAAGAAAAAATACGTTGGTGTGGGGTGTGTGTGAGCTTAGGATGTGGGATTGTGCCTGAACTGTGAGCCAAAGGGTGGCCGTTTTCCTTTTCTTTTATCTTCTTTCTTACATTCTCTCTCTTTACACACCAAATAAATCAAAGGTGTTGCCCCATTGCTCTTCCTTACAGCGTAGCCTTGCCTACCCCAACCCCCTTAGCCTTTTCTCTTTTCTTTTTTTTTTCTCGTTGTCTCTTTCTTTCCACTTTGTTTTGCTCTTTCAATTGCATACGTTCCTTTCACTGTACCTTTTGAGGCACACGTAACACATTCATCAGAGGAGGAGAGAATGAGTTCATCCTCAGGTCAGAGCAGTGGCTATGATCTCTCTTTCAAGATCTTGTTGATCGGAGACTCTGGGGTGGGAAAAAGTAGCCTACTTGTCAGCTTCATTTCAAGTTCTGTTGAAGATCTTTCCCCCACCATTGGTAATTCATTCAGTACATTCAACCATGTTTTTTCTTCTTTTATTTTACTTCTGTTATTTCTATCTTTAACCTTTTGCATGCTTGTTGAAGTTTTGAGTGTTAAATTTATGATTTTTTAGAATGATTTTTTGGTTTGAAAGCTGCTTTACATCTCGTGCTCATCCAATTCTGATCAGAGATATTTTACTTGTGCTTTCCTGATTGAATCCGTTGGTCTTCGGTTACAGACTCTGCTTATTGCTTGTGTTTGATTTAACTGGCTTTTGGTTTTTTAGCTACTTGCTTTAACTAGCAATTGAATTTATGTTCTTCTTGCCCTGGTCACAAGTTGTTTGTCTACCTTTAGTTTTGATATGATCTAATGTCGTTTCTATGATATGCAGGTGTTGATTTTAAGATCAAAACGCTCACACTAGGTGGCAAGAGAATGAAATTAACGATTTGGGATACTGGTAATATAGAGTCAAATCTTGTCCTTTCAATTCTTGAAATTAGATCATTTGTTCAATCCAAGCAGCATTTGACTAGAACAGATAGAATGACATGCCTTGTAACGTGTTTTGGTTATTCTTTGCCCAAAATGACTAGTTTAAGTGGTTTCGTGTATTGACTTAAAATAACATCACATCTGTTGCAGCTGGGCAGGAAAGGTTCAGGACTCTAACCAGCTCTTACTATAGAAAAGCACAAGGAATCATTCTCGGTATGCTTAATTTATTTATGTACATAACTATAAGAATGTAGGACTATCAGATTCATCCACATAAGAAACTTTTCTAGAATATCTTTATGGAGAAATTTTTCTTTACTACTTATATTCAACTCTGTTTTAACATTATGCTTTGATAGATACTCTTGATGTTTTTTTTATTTAAGAGTCATGTCTGGTAAAGGAGTTATATCATTTATTATTATTTTGTCTAGGAACGAGAGTATTTCAATCTTATGTCCATTATGATAATATTGTTAGGATACATTATCACGTTTAAGGTATTGTTCATTTTGAAACTTAAGTTTGTTACGATTTATGTTTAAAAGATGTATTCTAACGATACTATTATAGCGAACATAAGACTGGGCCACTCTTGTTCCTAGACGAAACAATTACAAACATTGGTTTCACGGTATGCTTGATGTTTTTTGTTAAATGTTTATACTTCATTGTAGATAAATTCTGATTTTTTTTTAATCAATTATTACATAGGTTTTACATTTGAAACTATGGAAATAAGGCCTTTTTCAAGGACATCCCTTGTTGCGTTATCTTTTTTAGTAGTTAAATTATTCTTGCTATTGTCTTTCTTGTTCCTTTTATAGTATGAAGAATTTTATAAGTGTATTGTCTTGGGTCTTAAGGTGGCCCTCTGAAGCCATAATTTTGTAACATTTGAAGTGGATAAAGTATGTGTTTAACCTTTTGCTAGTTAACATCCTTTAAATTTTAATGATTTCTATTCATAGAATGCTTCGTTTTCTTCACTTCCAGTTTATGATGTCACAAGGAGAGAAACCTTTACAAACTTATCAGAAGTGTGGTCTAAGGAAGTGGAACTCTACTCAACTAATCAGGATTGCGTGAAGATGCTAGTTGGAAATAAAGTTGATAGAGTAAGTTTTGTGCTCAATTATTGGGTCCGAATGTAAGACAAAAGCGAATTTATTTGCTATTGTAATGAAATTTTCCTTATTAAAATAGTGGCTCTAATCTTATCTGCCTTAGGGAAGTGAAGCAAAATTCAAGTTTTGTCTGTCCATTTGATGCAAATGAAGACCATATTCAATCCTACTTACTCATTGTAGAATACAAATCGACATGTGTATGATGCTCATACCACTGCTCCAGACTATTCAGCCACTAGCTCATGATTATCTATCTGATGATGTCCATCAGAAAACTGGATCCCTGCATTTTCAGCCAGATTATAAGAGAGCCCCATTTACACATGCTGTGCTTGATATCATAACACTTTCACTGCATACTCATGTGGCATTTGTTTATGAACTCAATGCCAATTCAGTGAATTATAAATATCTGGATAACTACATGCATGCATCTTATGCGGCACTGCCATATGGAACCTACCATGATGTATTCAGTTCATTAATTTCTGTCATGGTTTATTTCTCAATTTCTAGGATTCTGAAAGGGCTGTGAGCAGAGAAGAGGGTTTAGCCCTTGCCAAGGAATTGGGGTGTTTGCTTCTTGAATGTAGTGCTAAAACTCGGGAAAATGTGGAGCAGTGCTTTGAGGAACTTGCTCTAAAGGTACAGTTTTAATAGTTTTCCTCAGTGCTGTTTCTATCTTGTGAATAAGACAACTTTCCAGTTTAACTGACATTAGGGTCATGAGAAAACCTAATGTCAAACATTTGCTTAAAAAAAGAGCTTAATTGTTTGATTATAAAGTAATTAATTAATTATTACTTTGAAGATGTATATGACAAGGGATGATATTTTGAATGAGTGAATTGTTTGCTGCGTTTCGTTTTTCCTGGCATGATAAATGTAGCACCATTTTGTAGATAATGGAAGCCCCTAGTCTTTTGGAAGAAGGATCAACAGCAGTTAAAAGGAGTGTTTTAAAACAGAAACAAGAACCCCAAGCTTCCCAAAATAGTGGTTGTTGCTCTTAAAAATGATACGTTGTGGCGTGGAAATTGAGTCTTAACTAGCACATCTTGGACAAATCTTGTATATGTAAGCTTCCTCCCTAGTTTCTTACTACCATTGTCTTTTGGTTGTTTAATTATTTGTATTACTGGAGTGGAGAAATTGACAACAATGGCACCTATTAGCTTGTGTAAATTTGTTTGCCTTTGAATGAACTGTATCATTTATGAGTTGCTCATAAGTCCCAATTCAATCCTGATACTACAACTGCAGTTTCATGAAATGCTCTGGTGTGCAGATTACACCCAATTAATCCTGGAATTTTATTAACCTCGTTGAAAGAATTTTATTTTAATCCAAAATACGACTATTTGAAGCTCTACTTAACATAACCTACTTTTGAAGATTGGCATTGCAATGTAGGACATGACTTTATATGTACTTGTGCAATCATAAACTCAAACTTACACAAACTATAAAGATGACTTTGTCAGAGAATACAACACTGCCCCATTTACAGTTTCTTTCTCGTTTAAGTTCATGTAGTCCACTATGCTATCAGTACAGGTTTCAGAATATGTAGTGCAAATATCATTACAAATTTGTACGCATCTTTTTGTTGAATAAAATACAAGTGTGGCTGCCAAATTCCTAGAAGCTAATAATGTCGGTGTCCCAACTTCCATCTTTCTTTGGAATATTTTATTGCACTTGAAATTATAATACCACGGTCTCAGTGAAGTTGTGCACGAAGCATCTCACAACTCAATCTGAAGTTGCCAGCAAAATATCTACAATGCCCATAATTAGTCTGACTAAAATGAAACTGCATTTTCCCGCTAAACATCCTTGGATAAGTTTTATTCAAATTTTAAGAGAAATTGCAAGATCATAGTAACTTACTAGTTTGCATTTGCAAACTTTACACAACACTATATTTCATAACGCCTGTGAACGCATGATGAATTGTCAGTACCTGCCACAGTTCTTGAGCTGCAGCAAGCATGATGTTTCAGGTTGATCTAGTTGACCCTCTGGCTGGATCAGGTTCAGGTTTACTGATCTTCATAGTTTCAGATTACATGATAACATAAAATAAAAAGTCTGAGGTAGACAGAAAATCAGCCCACTTATATGAGAAATACAGGAAGTAAACAAAGTACCTCTGATTATGATCACACTGCCAAAATCTGGTTTGTCTCATGGGAGAAACAGATCACTGTTTTTAAGGGTCCATTTGGTTGGAAGAAAATAAACAGAGTGAATGAAAATACATAGAATTTCATATGAACTATCTAAACCCCTACCAGTAAGCTAATTCTAGCAATGAACTCGCTTTGAAACCTTCATATTTTGTTAACGTATTGATGCAAGCTCGACAAATGCACTAAATCACGCAAGTAATATGGAGTAAGAGTGCCATCTTAGGACTTTTGTGAAGTATCAGTAATATAGATTCACACAATTTGATTTAGTTTTGAAATGAAATGATTTGGTCACGATAGAGAATTTCAAGAATGAAACTAAAACAAGTGAGAAAAACCGATGCTCTCAAGGCTCTATTGCTGTTTTTTTATCTCTTTGCTCATTTTACACTTTATTCTTCCCTTATTTATCATTTTTTCCTTTCTTATATCTTAAGATATCAATACACCTTTGAATTTAATTTTTATTTGATTTTCTACCAATAAATTACAGTATGTTACAAAATCCTATTTTTCTCAACTGTTGTAACCATAAAATAGGGATATAATTGAGGGAAAAAAAACAATATAGCAGGAAATTCAGAACATCAATTGCTTCAGATAAGAAAAGAAAACTGAAACATCAAAAAACATGAAAAATACCAACAGTGTGTTAATCCAAATTGTACCGAACTTATATCAAACTTTGTTTTAAATGATTAATCAAATTCCTCAGTAGATATCAGTAATAGATGAATTCGTTTGGAATCTGTATCTGTATTGTTACAACAGATATCAGTAACTGATGAATTCGTTTGAAGCTCTACTTAACATAACCAATTTTAACATAACCAACAGTATCTGTATTTATTGCATTTTAAAAGCATAAAGTTTATTTATTTCAAACCAATTTAAGTCAAAATTTGTAACAAGTAACTTAAATCTCCTTAAAATCATTAGAAAAAGAAAAGAAAAGAAAAAGAAAACCATGGAATTATCTCACATGCTCTGTAGAAAATGATGCTAGGTTCTGCAAAATACATGTCTTTATATATGATTGATTACTATTTATAGAAACTAAAATCATGAGGATGTGAATGCATGTTTTCATGGGGCTATTTATAATACCTACACAACCTTGTGTTGACCTTCTAAGTTCAAGCAACACCTATTTTAATGTTGTGAATTCATTCTCCAAAAGGGAAATACCTCCCATTTTTAAAATCTCGTGTTTAAACTATTTAAAGCCTCGCACTTTTGGTTTCTACTTTCTAACAAAGACACCCCTCCACCGAACATGTAACTTCAAGTAGCAAAGTTTGTGGTGTTCCATGTACATATTTCAAAAATGAAAAGAACTGGTATTCATACAAAGAGTTTTATATATAAGTAAAACCTGCATTAAAATATTATTAATCAGAAACTGATGTAAGTAATTCTTCTTAGAAATGCTTTTAGCTAAACTTGTTGATGATATTATTTTTCTTGAATTAACAAATTATTTCTTGATGAATCAAATTCCTATTTTGGATGATGTTAAAAGGTAATGATTGATCAAAATTAGCAATAGATAATAGTTTATTGTTGACACTTTGTGTGGTAGACTATCATAGAATTAATACCTATTTTAAATTGTTTCTAATTCTTCTAAAAAGTTAATGATTTTTTTTTTTAATTTTGGTTATATATATATATATATATATATATATATATATATATATATATATATATTTTCTATCTTTATAAATTTTGAAAACATTGTTTTTAATGTTTGTGAAATATGTAAATTTGAATTTTAGTCCCCGTAAATATATTTTCCTTTTATTTTCTTTGCTCCAAATTTTCAAATTAATATTTTTTTATTTCCTACAATATTCATTTTAAAATAAATAAATTTGTTTTATAAATCTTAAGAATTTTTTTAGGTATATCATTACATTATGCGTATTGGATATATAAGAAGTAAACCAGTGTCGTATAATATTAGAAATCAAAATAACCTTTTCAAAAAAAAAAAAAAACAAAGTTAACTAAAAATATATATATTTAACCTTTTCAAACTATAAAAGAAAATGCATTTATTGATATAGTGAAACTGTTATCAACAAACGTTTTTATTAAGATCATACATATATTTTTTTTAATTATGATCATCATGATTTTAATTTCAAAAAAATATATTAATTAAAACCTCGTTAATTAAATTAGAAAACCTCGTTAATTAAAATAATATTAATTGAGGTGATATAGATAATTTTTTATATATTCGTTTTATGTAAAAAAAAAATGATTTTACACGGAAAATTGATATTAAATGGAAACATGTTAAATACTTTTCATATTAGAAAAAAAAAGATTAACTTTCACTATTATTTTTAAAATAAAAATATTTAAACATAAATAATTTTCAAAATCAAGAATCAAATATCAAATTTCTAAACACTTTATTCGAATTATAACAAAGAAAAAAAATACTTGTTGAAGTATACACTTATAACTGAAGCATGGTTGCTGCAGAAACATGTAATAACGTAAAAAGAGTAGCATTTATTTAATTAATTAACTTAAACGTAAACAAGAGAAGCAATCAAGAATTAATCTATTTTTACTGAAACAGCTTCAATAGTTACTATTGATGACTCAAGTTCCATCAGTTAAGGAGTTATAGCCAATGGCTTTGCTTGCCATCGGGTCTTTCGTCTTCTGCTTATCAGTTTGATGCAACTTATCTGTCAACATTCATACCTGCAGCTTTATTCTCCTTTGCTTTATTTTTTCCCCTAATCTTTCAATTTTCTCACATGCATGTCGTGGTGTATGCGACTTAAAAAAAGGAACATCATATGAACTATTAAAACCCAAAATATGGAAGATAGTTAAAATAACAGAATTAAAGAATTTGTGAATATATATATATACACACAAACACACCCCACAGATAGAATAGATTCAAATTAACTGTGTACGTACCATTGAATGAATGGAAAGAATCAACAATTGTATACATGGCTAAATGTTAAAAATAAAAATAAAGAAGGTTAACAGAAAAGACAGGCTTGAGCTTTTAGTAATGGCAATCCACCAAAGAAGTTGGGGAGAAGATAATGACTTTTTCTTTGGACTGAAAAGGAAACAACTTGGATTCTATGTGATGATCATCCTCAGGTGCCGGAAGATTCAAGTCCAAGTTCAGAACATCTCTGTGTTTCTTAGTTTCTGGGATTTCACGGCCTCCATCACCACCATATGCAATTGCCCCACTCGTAGGTGCGCTCAGAAAATTTCTATGCCTTCTCATGTGCCCCCCCAAGGCTTGCCCAGATGAGAACTCTGCCCCACATATGGAACACTCATGAACCTTAGATTTAGCATTAATAGTGCTACTCCTAGTGCTGTTGCTGCTATTATACAAAACCGTTGACAATTGTAAGGTGAGGGTGGTGCTCGTGGGAACACAATAATCTTCATGATTATTATTACTATTATTATCCACAAAAGTAGTAACTACTCCTTGCTTTTCTTCTGCATTTGCCTTGGAAATTTTCTTGTGGCTGGCTCTGTGGCCACCAAGGGCTTGAAACGAAGGGAAGCATCGGTTACAAGTCTTGCACTCATAAACATATAGCCCTGATTCCTTGTTGTGTGAGGGTTTTGGATGGGTATGGCCTTGAGCCAAGAGAATCAAACAATTGGCCAAGTCCTCATCCTCTTCGTTCCTTAATTCATTTGAGGTTGTTGGGAGATCAAAACTTGCGGAATTGTCGGTGCTGCTTCTTCCTGCGGAGGAACATGTTGACATGGTTAACCTAAGCGGGGATGGACACCTTTGACGCTTTGTGCGCCTGCCCTTGATGATTTGTAGTTCATCTTGCATTTGCATGGTATGGCAGATAATATTGTTATTGAGAGAGAGAGAGAGAGAAGGAGAATAAAGTGATGGTGAAAGAATGGAAGAAGCAATGAAGAGAGTGGGAGTTATTATATAAAGAATGGTTTCAAGTAGAGGGAAAAGGGTACCTCTAATTGTAATAGTAACGTGTTTTGGCTTTGCCAGAGTTGCGTTTCCAAACTTGGAAGTCTTATATTACAGATGTGAAGTGTTGAGAGAGAGAGAGAGAGAAAGATGCAATGTTAAGCATGAGGAGGCTAGGAAACTAGTGAGATTCGGTTGGCTTTGAAGCAAACCCACTTACTTTTTCGCAACGATTCCTTTCTGGAGGATTGGTTTGCAAGCCTGGAACCACACACATTTTCCAAACTTTCACTACCTTTTATTAGCTTTTCCTTCTTCCACTAATTCATTGTGTTTATATATACTTTCCTTCTTAATTTTTAGCCTCCTTTACTTCAACCAGTGCAGCTTAATTTAACTAATTCTTACCCCATTTTAACCAACATCCAAGTGTAGGATTATTTGTATGGGTTGACCACAATCTTAATTAAGAGTTCTGATGCAATATTATCTTCCATTAATTTATAACCCCAGCTATAGATATAGCTTCAATGATATTAAATGATTGATTATTTACCAAGTGCTATACTATAAACTACTTGCATATTCTTGCTAAATAATGAAGGAGGTCATGTGCTGTTGACCCAAAACATTTCTTTCTGTTCAAATTAATCACAACCTAACCTCATCAGTGTGGACACAGACAGTCAACAACATATACACATAATGGAAAATCATTGGTACATATAAATAAGTTTACGTGTGCGTAGTATATAAATTAAAATCATTTTCACGTTCTAAAATATTTTTTATCAAATGGGTTTCCTTTGTTTAAAAGACTACAGAAATAAAAGTCATAATTATCTCATTTTTTTAAAATTTATGTTGATATATCTTAAAATTAACATAAATACAAATAATATACACTTTTCAAGCAGAAGGAAATACAGACTATATTAAGTATGTATTTATTTGCGTCATTAAAAAATAGTTATGAAAATTTAAACCTATTCTAAATAATCAATAACGAGAAATTGTGAAACATGAATAATTTATTTATTTAATATAACAAAGATATACTCGCATCATTTTTGCTCATAAATCGCTATATATATGTAATACATTAATTCACAGAATTCTAATTAGTTATGCAAACTAAAGTTATGAAAGCATCAGAAAATAAAAAAAAATGTTAGGTTGTGTTTGATTCTGATGAGAGAGCAGCAAATGGTGAAAGTGAAAAGAATTCATTGTGCCACCTTGCGTTGATTACTAATATATAAATACGTAGCCAATTAAAATCAATAGAAAGATTAACCAGAAGGTTAAAAAAAAATAGTTAGTTTTTTAACATACTCTTTATTAGTGAATGAATTGATTAAAATTATAAAATTAAGTGTATATATTTCTTTGTTAAATAGATTACTATGTATATGCTTTTATACATTTCAATAAAATTTAAAATATATTAAAATGAATGGATTATAAAAGTAATAAATTGTTAAGATGCTCACAGTTAGAGAGTGAAGGTAAGATAGAAAGTATGCAGATAGTTGGATCTGTGGCTAAAAGCAACAACTGGTTAAACTGAATGTACTTTGAAATGTGTGTTTCTCTAAGTGAATATATAAAAGCATGCACTTTATAAGCCTTAGGATAACTTCTATTGGTGTGTAACTTTTCTTTAGCATAACTAAATTGTTAGTTTAATATGAGGGCTTGTAACTTTTTTTTTTTTTTTTAAATATTTGTTGAGCTAATAATATCATAAAATATAACTATATCAATAAATCAGTTAACTCTGACTCTTGTAAAATAAAATTTAAATTTGTGATAGTTAAAATTAAAAAGCTTAATTGTTGGAAGTGGTAAATTTAGTATTAATTTGTATATAAAGGAGCTGAAGTAGCCAAGCAATGAATGTAGAGTAATGATATTTACATCAGTAATTTAAGTTTGGTGAGATAAAAATGATGCTGAGAAAGACAAACTGACATGGAAAAGTAATGAACTTATGATTCCAGAAGAATGGTTTTGGTTGAGAAGAGAAAGAAATGAAGGAAGAGAAGTAAAGAATAAGGCAGAGGATGGAGTGAGGAGTGGAGATGGAGATTGCTGCGGTGGTGTAAGGAGGGGAACTTAGATTCTTAGCGTAAGGACTTGTAATGAAGGGTTTATTTGAGAGAGGCACGTAAAGCTCTTCGCCACCAATTCAGCATCAGATTAGGTTTAGGTTTTAGTTTTGCTACTGTTAATGGCTCAAAGCAAAGCATCTTCCTCACTACCTCCGTATCATATATCAATCTTAATATATATATATATATATATATATATATATATATATATCTTATATATATAGTCTCACTACTTCTCCACCTCTTTCTTTCTCTCTCTCTCTCTCTCTCTCTCTCTCTCTCTATATATATATATATATATATATATATATATATATATATATATATATATATATTAATGTTGCTTAGAGAAGAGACAAAACGACCATGCCGGTCACCAGAACACCATGTAATCCAATGCCACACCTACTGCATAGTTCTTGTGTTAAACAAGCTATAAATGTTAGATGAAAAATTGGTAGATTTTTAGGGTTTTTGTTTATATGTGTTTTTTAAATATTACAACATGATGGAGTTTCTGTTTCGTATGTATATATTTTATTAATTTATTTTATATATAAAAAATAACAATATGATAAAGTATTAAATATTAATAATATTTTAATTATAATTACTTAAATTAAAATAATAATATAATATTTTATTCTAAAACATAATAAAAATATTTTTATATTTAATTTAAATAAAATAAAATAAAAGTATTCCCAACAAAATTAGATTAAAAAATTGTATTTTTTAGGAGGGAGAATTACTGTATGATTAAAATCACTACATGCTTGCCATTCTGGTAGAACGATGGGTTTTTAGGGAGGATAAATAAAACGAAGTTATGGGAGGAAAAATAAAACACGAAGAAGATTTCTTTAACAAAAAAAATATATTAAAACATTGGACTATGAATATTTTTTTTATACATTATTCAACATTCTCATTTTTTTAATTATAAGACTTAAACTAATTTTTCAACCGTTTCTCTTTCGAGTTCAGACATTTTTATGTATCGGCATTTATTATACACACTTACTTAATATACTATCGAGAAGACTTTCGACACAAAATTCACTCTTAATTTGTTGATTACCACACGAACCATTCACTCTAATAATATTATTGGGTTTTTCGAGAGGATTCAATAAAAAGAAACAACATTAATGATATATGAACTCAACTCATATAAAGAATTAATATCACCTTAAATCCAAAAACTTAGATATTGAACTTTATGTATTGTTCAATATCCTCATTTTTACTCAATATAAGACTTAAACTCGTACTTGAATTTTTAAAAAAATACATCATTTTGAACTTTTTTTTATTGAGTCTCATAATTTTTTTCTTCATCTACTCAACTATTATATCTTTTCTTTCATTCCAAAGAAAAGTTTATTCTTTCTCACATATTATTTATCCTATACATATAAAGTATGCATATAATATGTTTTCACTCTGAGCCAAAAAATTATCGACAAGTAGGAAGATGAAGTCAAAGAATTTCAAATTTCTAATTAAAATTTTCTTGCGTAGATGTTTACATACAAAATACACTCTCAAATACTTTTAAATGAGAGAGTGATCTATTTTAAGAATGAATAGATTTACTTTTTCACTTAATCTTCTCGTATAAAACTCAAAAGATAATAATAATCTTAAATATAATAACTATAATCCAATTAATAATAACTAATAGTTGAAACGATAATAATTAATATAAGATATTATAATAAATAAAATAATTTTAATGAATTGAGTAACTACATACAAAAATTAATAAAATCCAGTACGTGTAGTAAGTATATATCACGTAGATACATGAAAATGTGGGGCTCAACTTTCTGATATAATAATTTCTTAGAGAGTTGTTCTGTTATAATTGTCTACCATATAGTGATTTGGATGAAGATACCATATCAACAACGAAGATATCGATGCTTACATTTATTTATAATTATTATACTTAACAGAACATTTCTTGATTTTGTTTATACAGATAATTAATTAAAACGCCACCACTAACATTGGTCATGCTTATTCGGAGCTATAATTAATTATAGCAGTGAGTCTCACTGGGTAGAACTAGATTAAAGTTTGTGTAGGCCACGTTCTATTTCAATTTCCTCGATTGCTTTGAGTACTCCTGCACCACTACTTTCATCTTTCAAGCATATATCTGACATTATGACGAGGAATGTCTTCTCTTTCTTTCTTTCAATCTATTTTTCAGGAAGAAAAAGATAAGACTAATAAAAAAAACAGTTGAGAGGGCTAATTGGGCCGTAAGTCATAAAATCCGTTTATGAAAAAGGAAAATGCTGGATCATGCGAATTGCCTATATGAGCCCAATAAAGAAATAGCTTTTCATTGTCGGCAATCTTTCATGCGAAAATGCACGATTACAGTGACTCAAATTAGATATTGGTAAGAAAATCTTGTTTCTAGTGATGCAGTATTGAACATAATGTGGGTGTGACCGACCTAACCGACCTTTGATCCTGGACCAGAACCCTCACCCACACTTTGATGTCAGTGAGAACAAACCAACCACACGCCATAACAATCACGTAAAATACTTTTGTAAGGCCTATGAAACATGTTTTTGTTTTCCTCTCCATAACATGTTATCAATCCATCTCTCTATGTTCCATGATGGAACTTGTGTGGTTCACAATAATCTCCACACTGTAAAAATGGGCCCCATTTTAACCAAACATTTTTTATTTCGGCCCAACAATTGACTGCTCAATGCGCTGACATCTTTCTGTAAACTTCTTTCACTTTCTTCACGATATGCAACCACATAATGATAGCGACATAAACATTTTATTTCATAAAAATAATCATGCTGTTAGTAGCAAATCGAGAAACACAATCGGAATCGAAGGGAAAAGAAATATGACTCGATAAGATAAACAAATATTCATTCGATGTCCAAATTGAAACACGTAGCATATAACATCGAGAAGCACAATCGAGAAATGAACGGCTGTTGCCAAATAAAGACTAAGTCATAGTGTGGAATCGAGAAGTCTGATCGAGAAATGAATCGAAAGGGAACTTTCCTGATGTCCGATTATAAAGAACGTGACACATAAAATCGAAAGGTAAAATTGGAAGAGTAGGCGTAATAGTCGAAAAGCTTAACATGGAGTTAAGGTTAAAATAAATCGATACCAGGTATGCAAAGTTCTCGATTAAATCAAAGGGAAGGCTCGGTTTCGTAGATATCATAACCTTGGCTAAACCTTGAAAGAAAGTAGTCAAAACGCACGTATCGAAAGCAGTTTCTAAGTGATGGAAAAGTTGAAGATCGTGAGAACATGGGAAAACCGTAAAAGAAACTCGTCATACGCACGAAGAACGTGGTAGCAGTCTCGTTAACTCGCTCTTAGAAGGCTTGAACAACGCCCTATAAATAGAACAAAGAAAGGAGAAACAAGGGAGAGGGGGAAATTGGCAGAGAACGTGAATCAGTAGTGAAAAGTCTACCGGAGAAACGACGAACACCATGAAGTTTCGGCAACTGGATTTCCTTGCTCACCGAGTACATTTATCGCTTTCTATATTTTCCTTGGTAATTTACTTTCGAGCCATTTCAATTCAAGCAATTTCATATTCTTGTAGATTACATTCAATGTCATTTCGATTTCCGTTATTTACTTTACGTGCAATTTTAATGGGTTTTAGCAATTTACATTTTCCGCACATTTCGATTTCTGTTATTTACTTTCAGTGCAATTTTAATGGGTTTTAGCAATTTACATTTTCCGCACATTTCGATTTCCGTTATTTACTTTCCGTGCAATTTTAATGGGTTTTAGCAATTTACATTTTCCGCACATTTCGATTTCCGTTATTTACTTTCGTGCAATTTTAATGGGTTTTAGCAATTTACATTTTCCGCACATTTCGATTTCCTATTATTTACGATTATGCAATCTTAATGGGTTTTAGCAATTTACATTTTCCGCACATTTCGATTTCCGTTATTTACTTTCTGTGCAATTTTAATGGGTTTTAGCAATTTACATTTTCCGCACATTTCGATTTCTGTTATTTACTTTCGTGCAATTTTAATGGGTTTTAGCAATTTACATTTCCCGCACATTTCGATTTCCTGTCCTTTATTTATCTCGCAAACTTAATTTCTTGCAAATTCGGGGTTTTCGCACTTTCTTGCAATTTAATATTCTCTTTGCTCGATTCGATACTTTACTCGTTTTGTTTGAGTCAAGCATTTTAGACATAAAATACCAAAAACCACATTTTCGATATCCTGTAGTTTTCAATTCTCATACGCGTTTTCGATTGAAAATCAAATTGCTAGCCTAAGTAAAAAGAACTTACGTGGTAGAATTTTGATTAGGACCAAAACACCCTTAGAATCGAAATCGATCGAAATTCCACTGGAAACAAATTGGCGCGCCGAGTAGGGGACTTGTGTTGAAAAAACACAAAAGAGGTTAGTTCGAGAGTGTATGAGATTAAGAAGTGGGAGAGTTATAAGAATGAGTCGAATTCCTCAAGTAGTCGAATAACAATGAGGGTCTAAGTGGTGTGCTCCCACCAAATACCGGGGGCAAGGGCAAGGGCATAATGGGAGTATACCGGTAGTGTCGACAACCGTGAGCACGTCGATACCAATAAGTAATGAACAAAATCCAGGTCCATTGGCAAACACCCATGTAGGAGCTAGTATAGCAATATCAAATAATATGCAAACTATGGGAAACCCCATAACCACATATGCAGGGCCATATACTAGTGTAAGACCACCCGGTTTCTTATCCAATAACATGAATGGAACCGGCACTTCATCGATACATAGAAATTCACGATTCAGCTTAGGAATGCCTCAAAACGTAGGTACATTTCAAACCCTAGGCATGCCACAAAACTTTGGAGTATCTACACATTTAGGGGTATCTCAAAATTCAGTGACATCACAAAATTCGGGGAATGGACCAAACTTAGGGATACAACGGACACCTCCAAATCTAGATCCTAGGGGAATCTCGATCATGGGAGATATGCATTTGATAGGGACTTTCATCGATCTAATTTCGAGAATATCGAAAATACTAATACTCGGGATTTCCGAGTAACTCCCTAGGAATACTTAGACAACAAATGGATGAGAGTAATTTTGAAATGGTGAATATGTTATCACAAGCAGTTGACTACGGTCTTAAACCCATTAGTTCAAAATACTACTGCTAGTTTCGAGATATTAGCGGATCAAATGTCTCGAATTGGAGACGCATTGGCCGTACCTCGACAAACGAGGATTGAGAATCATGCCAATCGAATATTAATCCCCTTATTTATTAAGAAGGAATCGGAACAATGATCAATATCAAGCAAATGGGGAAC